CAGTAAAGAAATCAGAAGTCCTATTGCAATGGGAAAATCTGCTACAGAAGACTTCTTTAAAGTAGGAAGAAACAAAGGTGTCACTCTGAAGACTAAAGGGTACCTATCCTAAGCCATGGTATTTTCAGTTGTCCCATATGCATGTGAATGTTTGATAATGAATAAGGAAGACTGAAGAAGAGTTGATGCCTTTAAATTGTGATGTTTGAAGAATACTGTAAATATCATAGACTGTCAGAAGAATGAACTATCTGTCCTGGAAGAAATACAGCCAGAATGCTCTTTGGAAGCAAGAATGGCCAGACCTTGTCTCACCTACTTGATCATGTTGTCTGAAGGAACCACTCTTGGAGAACGATATCATGCTTGGTAAAGCTCAGGTTCTACCTGAGTGGGGTCTTAAAAGCTTGCAAGTGGCCATCTAAGATGCAACAATTGGTCTCTCCTCGTACAGAGCAAAGTAGAATGAAGAAAAACAAAGACACGTGGAAACAATTAGTCCAAGGGAACAGTGGACCATGTGAACCTCAATCTACATGACCCTGAGACCAGAAGAACAAGATGATGCCCATCTACCACTTGGAAAGGGATCAGTGCAGGAGATCTTAGACAGAGTGGGAGAAAAATGCAGAACAAAACTCAAAATCATAAAAAAAGACCAGGCTTATTGGTTTGATAGAGACTGATGAAATCCCCAAGACTATTGCCCCTAGTCCCCCTTTGGACCTGGTATTGAACTCATTCCCATGGTATCCAGCCAAACAACAGATAGACATATAAGGTGAACATTTACACCAGGTAGGTATATTCCTTAGAACAATCAACCATGGGATATCAGAAGGGCAGTATTTGCACATGAAGATAGCTCAGAGGGCAGAGAAACATAGGAAAGCAGGACACAGGGAAAAGGTAACCACACGGAGGAAGTGGGAAAAGCACTATTACATTATGGGGATTTCAAACAATTTCATGAAACAAAATGTGTATGAATGGTTGTATGGAAAATGCATTTGCTCTATAAACTTTCACCCAAGTCACGATTAAAAAAAAAATTACCATAAAAAAATAAGTAAATAAGTGGAACGTCTCTGAAAAAGGGGAAGACCCTCAACAAGATGGATTGGCAAAGTGGCTGCAATGATGAGCTCAATTATAGCAAGGATTGTGAGGATGGCACAGGACAAGGCACTTACTGATGAAGATCAAAGACTACAGTCTTCAGTATGGATTATACCTCAACATAAAGAAAACTAAAATCTATTGTGCATGGGGTCACTATGAGTTGGAGCTGACTCAATGGCACCTAAAAACAACTATGGAATTGTGCACTGTGATAAGGGTGAATCATAGAAACCTAGACTCCCTGTCTCCACCACTTACTAATTGCAACTACCACTTATTTCCTTGTGACATTAAGGGAATTATTTCACCTCTCTATGGGTCACAGCAGTCCAATTCCATTGCGCATGGGGTTGCCATGAGTCAGGGGCCAACTCAACAGCAGCTAAGAACAACAACAACATACCTAGAATTTCTCATTTATAAAATGAAGATAACAAAAAAAAAAAAAAACCCAAAATACCCCAAACTCACTGCCATCAAGTCAATTCCAACTCATAGTAACCCCCTTTGGGTTTCTCAGGTGGTAAATTTTTATGGAAGTAGATTGCCCACTCTTCCTTCCATTGAGTGGCTGGTGGGTTTGAACTGCCAACCTTCTGGTTAGCAGTCAAATGCCTTAGGGACTACATTACCAGAGCTCCTTAAAATGAAGATAATATGATAATACTAGGGATATATATCATAACCATCTTTAAGATTGTCTTAAAGCTGCATGGTAATTATGATAAGAACTTTTTTCTGATTTTTAACCATTATCTCAAAATTCTTATTCACTCATTACTTCAACAATTACTTATTGAGTGCCTTCCACATTCCAGGCAGTGTTCTAAGCATTAAGGACATGGAAGTGAACAACAACAACAAACAAAACAAACTCACTGCAATCGAGTCGATTCCAATTCATAGTGACTCCCTCTGGGTTTCTGAAGTGGTAAATCTTTACGGAAGTAGACTGCCCAGTCTTCCCTCCATGGAGTGGCTGATGGGTTTGAACCACTAACCTTCTGGTTAGTAGTTAAATGCCTTAGGCACTATGCCAGTGTATGTGAAAGTGAACAACATACCTAAAACCCTGGCTTCCTTTAACCCTGGCTAGCTTAGGTTTTAGCTCAGAAGATAAATACATAACTAAATATACAATATTTGGTGAGTGGAAATAAGTGATATAAAGATAAACAAAGCAGTTTAAGGGTCTAGAGGAAGTCAGGTTCTGTTTATGTGTAGGGTGCCTATTATAGATAGGCTGGTCAGAACAGGTTGCTCTGATAAGGTGACATTTGAACAGAGACCCAAATGAAGTCACGGAGAGAGGCTTGTGAAAATTATCTGTGGAATGTGTTTCAGGGCAGGGAACTAGCAACCGCTAAGGCCCTGAAGCAGAGCATGCTGGTACATTCCAGGGAAGCAAGGAGGGTAAGGTGGCCAAAGGAGAGTTGTGCAAGGAAGATTATAACAGAAGATGAGATGAGAGGCGGCATGGTGGTGTAAGGCAGATTCCAGAGGGCCTTAAAGCCCATGCTGGATTTGGGGTTATATTCTAAGTGAGAGGGGAAGTAAATAGAGAGAGTTCTGATCAAAAGAGTAATATGATGTGATTTACATTTTAAAAACATCATCACACTGGCTGCTGTGTAGACAATGTACCTGGGCTGTGCAGGAACACACTATAGACTCAGTAAACCTGATAGGTATTGTAGACTGTGGCACATTGCTTATAATTTAAGTACCTTTTCCAACTTTATTCCAGGATTTATTCCAAGACATTTGAAGATGTCTTTTCCTTCAGCCTTAGTTAAATTTAGGAGCTCTGGTAGTGTAGTGCCTAAGGCATTTGACTACTAACCAGAAAGCTGGCAGTTCAAGTCTACCAGCCACTCCTTGGAAAGAAGATGCGGCAATCTACATCCATAGTGATACCACCTTGGAAACCCAAGGAGGGGTCACTATGAGTCCGATACAACTGGATAGCAGTGAGTTAAGTTAAATTTACAAAGAAATAAGCTTGTTGTTGTTGTTATTGTTATGTGCCGTTGAGTCGGACCCGACTCATAGCGACCCCTCCTTGGGTTTCCAAGGCAGTATCACTATGGAAGTAGATTGCCCCATCTTCCTTCTGAGGAATGGCTGGTGGGTTTGAACCGCCAGCCTTCTGGTTAGCAGTCAAGTGCCTTAGGCACTAAGCTACCAGAGCTCCTATAGAAAGTAATAATACCAACCCAAATCCATTGCTATTGAATGGAATCTGAATCATAATGACTCCCATATGGTTTCCAAGGCTGTAAATCTTTACGAAAGCAGACTGCCTTGTCTTTTTCCTGTGGAACAGCTGGAAGGTTTGAACTGCTGACCTTCTGGTTAGCAGCCCAATGCCTTAACCACAGCGCCACCAGAGCTCCTTTAGAAAGTAAACTCACTACCGTCAAGTTGTTTCCGACTCATAGCAACCCCTCCTTGGGTTTCCAAGGCAGTATCTCTAAAGAAGTAGACTGCCCAATCTTCCTTCCCAGCAGTGGTTGGTGGGTTTGAACCGCAAGCTTTCTGGTAGCAGTCAAATGCCTTAGGCACTACGCCAGCAGAGCTCCCTTAGAAGTAAAAGGTACTGTTTAAACAAAAGGCTGATTACTAGCTATTCAATCTGCTCCATTTGGTGTTTCCGTTAGGTGAATCAACAAGTACATAGAATTTGGTTTGCTGGGTCCCTTGGTTTCAGATGGCAGGAATTTGTTTTGTCAAAATCAAAATTAAAAATGAGTACTAAGTGTATCGAGATATTAAAAAAATAAAAGGTAATGGAAAAATTTGTGAGCTCTGGTAGTGTAGTGCCAGCTTTCTGGTTAGTAGTCAAATGCCTTAGGCACTACACTACCAGAGCTCCTAAATTTAACTAAGGCTGAAGGAAAAGACATCTTCAAATGTCTTGGTTCAAATCCACCAGCCACTCCTCGGAAGGAAACTTGGGCAATCTACTTCCATAGTGATACCGCCTCAGAAACCCAAGGAGGGGTTGCTATAAGTTGGGGCCAACTTGATGGCACATAACAACAACAGAAAAATTTGGGAACAGATGAAGGTGACAGTTGAACAACATAATGAATGAAAGTTAATGAAACTGAATTATACATGTAAAGAACACTGAAATGGCAAATGTTTTGTCATATAAATACCTAACACAATACAAAAATTTTAAAAAAGAAAGAAAATTGATACCAGAAATAAATTTTTAGGTGGGTAAAATCTTATGGCAATGATTGAAGCCAGCTCATGAAATTCAAAACAAACATTTTAAAATCACAGTGCAAAATTTCTATGTCTGTTAAACTGCAGCCACGTGCCACATAACATCCATTCAGGAAATGTCCAACCACATATAAGCCCGTGGTCCCAACCCCAGTAAAGCCTATTATATTAAAAACTCAAGGTACGTACAATGGTTCATAATAAAAAATGGGTTCTACTTTTCAACACATATCAAAACATTATTATTATTACTGTATTATTATGTTACAAATGTTTTAGTATCTGGTAGTATTTCTTTAAATTTTTTTAAGCATAGAAAGGTATACTATATATTATATATTATATATTAAGACAAACATTTGACTGATTGACGTTAAACAGGAACCATACTACTTTTCCAACTTACGTACACATTCAACTTTAAGACGGACTTAGGAATGGAACTTGTTCATAATCTGGGGACTGCTTTATATAATTCAGTGGCCACAAAACATTCACATCACATAACATCCTATATCACAGAACGTGTCATGGACATTAAGTGACGCATGACTGTATAAATAATACTCTCTGAAAAGATTTCTTAAGTATTTGTCGTATAAGCCAACAGTGGAATAGTGCATGAAAATAAATGAGCTCACCTATAAATGGGATGGATGCCAAGGAATCACCAGGGGGACTGGTACTTGAGGTCTTCCTTTCCTCCATTCTTTTTATATGGACCTCTCGGCGTGCATCATTGGGCAACCAGCAGGTAGTGTCTGACCCGGTCTCTTGGTCATTGACTGCCAAGATGTACGACTGATGCCTTAAAGGCTGTGGTGTTTGGCGACCAGATGGAGGTTTTTCCCTTAGGACAACAGTTTCTTTATTATCTAAAATACTTGATTGCTGAATTTCGGCATCTTGCAAATTTAAATATTGATTCCTCTGGCTGACAGATAATTCAAAATCTGAAGTGCCAGAGTTCTCACTCGTCTGAGGGACAAGCTTAGCAGAAGCTCCAGATAAAGAGGGAGATTTTGTAGTCTCCATTTGGTGATCTGGGGCACTTTCAGTTCTTAACCATGTCTGCTGATTTAACAGACTGTTTTGATGCAAGTGATTTACTGGTCTTTGGTCTTTCATGGAAACAAATGAGTTCTGGTTAAATGATGGTTTTGCAACATATGTAGAAGGCGCTTTCAGAGAATTGCTTCGAATTTTCATAAGAGGTGACTTGTCTTGTGAAATACATCGAGGCACCGATATTCCACAAGTAGTTTGCAAATTTCTGTTTGACTGTGGTGATTTTAGGTCCGGCGGAATTTTTTTAAACTGAGACAGAGATCCCATTCCTCTGCTACTTATTCTCCTATTATCAGAATTAACACTACTGGGAGCCACAGTAAAATTTGAACCTCGAAAAGATTTATGAATTTCTTGCTGTCTAGGTCTTTCATAAATACCCCGTCTATCATCTTGTTCGGTAAATCCACTCCATTTATAAGTCTGTTTTCGCTCTCCATTCGAATTAGGGATTTGATTTTCAGAAGTGACATTTTCTACAGTTTCACCCTGTCCCCCAATGTAATCCCACGAACGAGTTCTATGATTACTAAAACCAACAGGTGGAGAGGTGAGTGCTCCTTGAGATGCACTTCTTGGACAATATTTCATTAGCACAGAATCCTCCAGTCTTTCCTGGGATACACTGCGTTGCCGGATCTGTACAGACTGGGGCCCTCGATCATGAGACGTGCTTCTACGTCGTACCTGCAAAGTAGTGTGATTAGGTACCACCTGGTTGTAATCCGTGCTCTGGGATGCTGCTCTTAAACTGTCTAATCTTTCTTGAATTGTCCGACAACCTATGTGCAATCGTCTGTTATCAATATACTCTTTGTAAGTTTTATAGTTTTTCCAGTCTATGTGCTGATGGGAATTTGGAGAATAGTGATTAACAGGTACAGAAGGAGAATCTGCAACTTGTGATCTACTGCTTGAGATTCCTTCTGCATGTCCACCATAATTTCCAGATTTAAGTAAAATTCCAGAAGGCTCCAATGACCTGGAGCCTGTAGTCTGATGAATCAGATGAGCAGTGGAAATTGATGATGGTGATGTTGTTCTTGACACTGGTTTTAAAGAGGTCTGTTCATTTATGCCATACCTCACTTCTTCAGTTCTATGTGAAGGACCTGTGTGGTTATTTCTATTGGATAATAAATCTACAACCTTCTCAGAAGGTACAATGACAGTCCTTACACTTTCATTGCAAACACACACTGCTGTGTTTGACTTTGCAATATCTGTTGGTGACGGAGGCACTTGTATTTCCATTCTATAGGCCCTGCCAGGTTGTGTCAGTACTGGTGTACTGGTTTGCTGTTTGCTCAATGAAGAGTCTGGAGGAGATACTTCAACTTGCTGTGCCATAGCTGAAGGGGCAGATGTCATCCAGGGATAGCAAATTGGTGGAGGTTCAGGAATATTGCGGGCATTGCCACTGTAGGCTACGTTGCCTTTCAGGTAGGCATCTTGAGAATATGCCTGTGTGGGAATGAGAAAAAGGTGTCATTTAAAATTCATTAACAGAAAAAAGCTGCCAGTCTTCTAGTTCCCTGGTTTATTTTACTACGTCCTACCTTGTTCCTGAATGATACTCACTATAGCATGCATGCAAGCACAACGTAAGGGTACTCTACAAATATAGAAAAGAGCTAGTCTTATAGCAATCAAATACATTGTAAAATCTGCAACAAATATAAATTACCATCACCTGTTTTCTCAAAATATCTGAAACAGCATCAATTTTTCCAACACATTAGCTATAACCATGTTGCTTCTAAAATTCTCCCCATTCAATCTTTATGATACAGTAAGGATTTTTCAGCAGTCGAGAGGTTAAATGGCTGCCTAATAAATCCCAGCCAAAAAAAAGAAGAAGATTCTTATCTTCTGCCAGACAAAAGGTGAAAATATCAAAAATCTAACCCAAACACATTTTCAGTTTAAGCACTACTTCCATCATAAATTAAATATAATTCACTCAACAGTGTCTTATCAATTAACCACTATTGAGTCCCTAAAAATAATCCACTTTGATGAGTTAAGTACATCAACAGGCATGCTAAATATTTTGTATTTAATCTAAGAGAAGAAAATGTTTTAAAAATTAAGCATATAATATATGAAAATATAAAAAAAAAGGTAGTTCAACTTCCCATTTATAATTTATATTTTTTTTTTATATTAAGCTAATGCAAAATATATTGCATTGATTTATTTGGTCTCTTTAGTCATTATAAGGAGATATTTTTCTATTACCAACAGGCAGGCATGCAGGCATTGGCTATTTGTGAAATTAGGATGCAATAATTTTAAAAATAACTGAAATTAAATACAGTAACTCTACAGAACAACTAATCAATGCAACACAGGACTATGTTCAGCAAGAGGCAGTTAGGTGTGTGGTATTGTATTACATACCCTCCCCAAATCAAAACAAGGTTTAATTCAAGACTATGGTCATATCCTGTCTTTGCATTAGACAGCTTGCAAAGCTCAAGTGCAGCCACAAACATAACAGCAAAGTACTAGGTAAAGGGAGAAGGTAAGATACTTAAAAAAAAAAAAAAAAAATACTGATGCTGATAAATATTATGCTTTAACAGTTAAGTACAAGATATAGAAGAAAACCAAACATGAAAAAGGAAAAAAGAAAAGTACACATCACAAACACATTCTGCAAATTAGTAAGATTAACACTATGAAGGATTTCTCTAAGCAAACTTACAGTTTTAATAAATTGGCTTATTACAAATTTCTATAAAACATGACTTTAAAAGCAAGGAAATGGCTACTGTGCATTTCTTACCAGTGCTGTGACATCCTTTGTAAACTGTAGCTAGCGGAAAATAGGAAAACATAGTAGAAGCTGCTTACTGATATAAAGACAGAACCATGTTGTCATATTGATGCTGGAAACAGCAAGCTAAAAATACATCTATACTGATTTCTCTGGAAGGTACCAAGAGAGGTAAAGGGCAGTGAAGCATAAAGAATAACTTCAGTATCTTTCTGAGGATCTTTTTCTCAGGCTTTTATCTGGTTCTTACTTGATTTGTCTACCGTTCTTGAAAGCAAAATACATCTGGTGACAGGCATTCCTAACAGATATTTTCTTTAACATGCACTACTGTCTGACAATGTATTACAAAGCTTCCCTTCCACAAGAGCAACATTGATGTCTCTCATTTCCCCTGAGCTTCTTCCAGCTCTGCTTCCAGATGACGAAACGAATGCTCTATTATGCATTTAAAATAGTACAACCTCCTCCTTCCCCTGTAAATCAGAGCATAACCACAAGCTGTCAGCTGACTGCAGCTGCCTTGACACTTATGATTTGGAAAAAAGAAAAGATAGTTTCATGAAATGGGTGTCATTCAAACATTAGGAGCCCCCAACACTGCATCTTTTGTACTGTTTTATTAGCTTATGTAATTAACTGTTGAATAGACACAAAAAAGATTACTTTCAGGGTAATGCTTATTAACATATGATAAACATCACAGAATATACAGACTAGCACATATAGACAAGAATTCAGTGAGAAATTAGAGCTAAGTATATAAAAGAATACATGCATGCCATAATATTTTTAAAGCACGAATGCAGTCAATCAAAATATGCATTTTGGGTATGTGCATTAACATAACAAGCCTGTTTTTTTTAATGCTGATTATATCCAGACCAACAGTTATCCAAGACATGAAAACTGTGTCTGCATAGGTGAACCAAATAGTACAGCACTTCACGCAGCATATTTTGCGTAACATTTTTTGTGCAATTTTATTATGTTTCACTTAAAAACAAAATTGGGCGGAGGAGGGATTCTTATGTTTAATGGTGTAAGGAAAGGGCAGTTGGCAGATTTTTGATTTCTCAAAACCTCCCCTACTTTAATAAACATTGTAAAACTCAAAGGGAAGTACAAACTTATTCACAGCCATGGAACCCATTTTTTCTCCAGGGGTCTGAACATGGTTAGAATTTCATGGTTTGGGAAATCCTGTTTCCAATTTAATCATTATTTAGATATATAATTTAAAGATACTTCCTTTATTCTATTTTAGGGAGAGGTATTATCTTTTAGTAACAGAAGTTTATAACTGTATATGAAAAACATTTTTTACATACATACAGATATCTCTTAAGATTCTTATAAGGCAATCCTAAACACAAAATCGTCTGTATTAATGGGTCTCAATTCTGGGTAAAGTTTTGTCAAAGGGTCCTTAAATACAGACACATATACCTCACATTAACAGTTGCCTAACTAAATAGAAAGTATTACACAGAGTTGAAATAAAGAAAGTATGAATTAATTCAAAAGCATTATGGAATTTCTTCACATATTCTCTCAGTTCATGAATACTAAAAAGGCTTGTGTATCTACCTGCCCATCTGTCTACCCGTCCCACTCACCACCTACCTACCCACCTAAAGGTTCTTCATCCTCATAAGAAGTTTAGAAATTGATACCATTCAAAATTAACATTTATGAAAATTAGTTCTTCTAAGGCCCCTCAGGCTTAGTATACATTTAATTGATAGGTCAGAGACGTATCTAAGAATAATTTTGGAACTTCTATGACTATTCTAAGATGTATGTACAAACACAAATTAGCTCCCAAATAAGTTTGGAGAAGTAAACTAGAACTAGACAATATGTATTTTAAGGACTCCTCTCCTTCCATAATAGCCCCAAGTATTCCACTAGAAAACAAACTGCCTAGTAAGGAGAGCTTTAGATTCTTTCAAGAAGGAAAGAATTCATCAGGGTTTGGGAAAACATTGTGGTGGATTATCTGGAATGGATCATCATAGTCAACTCCTCGAGGTAAACCTATGGATATGGCTTTATATTCTGGGAACAGAATTACAAACTTTATAACCTGCACATATCTGTAACTGGCATTTTTTCTTTTGAGGGCTTGGTCAAAAAGTACCAAAATCTTTCATTAAGCCTGAGTGGTCTGACATATCAATGTTTTAACTATCTAATTGGGGTCTTTGAATTATCAGTGGGGACCAATTAAAAAGCACAGTGTATCATTTCAACAAAGTAATTTATATTCTTAAAATAAAAAGTTATGCCAAAACCATCCTATATTAATAAGTTGATCTGAAATGATATATACATTTTTTAAATCAATGTCATATGAATTACATATTCAGCTATTAATAATTGCGATTTTTTTTCTGGTTTAAGCCCAAAAAGATACTTCACAATATATGAAGCACTCAACATCACTTAAATTATCCCCAATTGAGTTGCTGTTGTTGTTGTTATGTGCCATCAAGTTGGCCCCAATTCATAGCGACCCCTCCTTGGGTTGCTGAGGCAGGATCACTACAAAAGTAGATTGCCCAGTCTTCCTTCCGAGGAGTAGCTAGTGGGTTTGAACTGCCAGCCTTCTGGTCAGCAGACTAGTGCCTTAGGCACTATGCTACCAGAGCTCCTCCCCAATTGAGTAGCTTTTGGAATCTCCCCAAATAGAATACAGTAACAAAAAATTTAGCCTTTTTTTTTTTAAGTCATTTTATATACCACTCTACATTCTTTCTTAAATTTCATCTACCCTTCTACGTAAGTTTTAAATCTTATGGACGCTTAGTCATATAAAAGCTTGTATTTAAAAATTAAAGTCATATCTAATGAAAATAGAATAGTAACAACTCTGTATAGTAGAGCTGACAAGGGGCAAGGTTATGGTCATTGCTTGGTCACAGCCAGCTACCCAGAGGGACTGAGTAGTTGATCCTGCGGGCTTGGGACCATGGTCGCAGGGGACATCAAGATCAATTGGCATAACATACTATACAAAACATTGTTCCACCTACTACTTTGGCGAGTAGCGACTGGGACCTTAAAAGCTAGGAAGCTGCCATCTAGATGCAACAACGGGTCTTTCCTCATCAAGAAGAAAGAAGAAAACCAAAATTAATGGAAACAATCAGTCCTAGCAACTGGTACACCATCCGATCTGCAACCTATACAACTATGAGACCAGAAGAACTAGATGGTGCCCAGCTACCACTGCCATCCACTTGGAAGGGATGTAGGAGATCCTGCATAGAGAGGGAGAACAATGTGGAACAAAACTCAAAATCATTTGGAGGCAAAAAAAAAAAAGAAGGTGGGGACCAGGTTTGCTGGTCCAATAGAGCCTGGTGAAACCACTGACACTATGGCCCCTAGCTGCCCTTCAGGTCTGGAATTGAACCCACACCTGTGGTTTCCAGCCAAACAAAGTACAGGCATGTGAGTTAAACATTTACCTCAAGTAGACACACACCCTGGAGAGAACAATCATGGGAGAAGGAAGGGCTGCTTATGCACAGGGAGATAGCTCAGGGTGCAGAAGAGTATGAAGGGATGGACACTGGGAGGAGGTAACTATGGGAAGGAAGTGGGAGGGGAGCTGCTGCATTGTAAATTTTGGTCAATGACATGAGACAAAGTATATGTGAACTGCTGTATGAAAAGTGAATTTACTCTGTAAATCTTCACCCAAATCCTAATTAAAAAAAAAAAAAAAAGAATAGTAACAACTCTTCAGAGTCTATAGATCCAAAAAGCTCTTAAAAAAAAAAAAGAAGAAGAAGAAGAGTATAAGGAAAGAGAGGTGCCCCACTGAATTCTTCATTTAGAATTGGAATTGCAAACAGCCTATTAAATAAAACTTGGAACAATCTGGGATCTTGATTTTATATGCAATTCCTAAGACTAAACAATCCTAAAATAATCATTCAGTTTCGTTTCACATTACCATATCCTATGATACTTAAACTCTCTTAACTCGCTGCTGTTGAGTCTATTTGACTGATAGCGACCCCTCCTTGGGTTTCCAAGGCAGATTACCACCCCCCCAAAATCTGCAGAACAAATAAAATGCTGAGATTAAAATTCTTCTCTACCATTTTCACCTTTATCAGGCTGACCTGCTAATTTAACGCTTATGAGAAAAGCAAAAGTAACTGCGTCTCTGTCAGTACAGTAAAATACACGATGACCATGCTACTGGTGGCATATGGGAGATGAAGGATGGTATATATGGCAAGGGAATTAATTTTAGTTCATATCCTTCTAGATTATTGGAACTCTTTTTTCAACAAGTGTTTTGGTTACCTCTGTGCTGCTCTAACAGAAAATACCACAAATGGGATAGCTTTAACAAACAGGAGTTTATTTCCTTACAGTTTGGAGGCTTTAAGTCAGAGTTCAAAGTACCAGGCTCTAGGAGCTGGGTGAAAGCCCCTCAGCCTTGGAATTCAGCTCTGCCTCCTGCTCCTGGCCCACTGAAACTGGAGGTTTCTCTCCACTCAGACAGCTGCTGGCTGCTGAGGCTGACAGAGCCAAGGTTGACAAGTAAAAAGGCAAAGTCCCAATGCTACCAAACAACACAGCAGGCCACTAATTCAAGTCCATTGAAAGTCCCAAAATTGGCAGAGTGTGGCAGGCTGCTGAACAACTACTCGGCTACACGCAGGGTTCAAGCGTGCCACAAACTAGAGACCATTCCCAAAGCTGCTTCTTATATATGGGAAGCAGACCACATTCCTAAAGCAGCTACTCAGATGCTTGTGGTAGATCCCACCATGGAGTTGACTGCCAGTCTCATCATGGTGAATAACTAACATCAGCTGCCCAGCTACTCAACCAGGCCCAGTCAAGTTGACACACAACCATAACTACCACAAGAAGAAGCATGGACTATTTTTTAAATGACTAAAAAACAGATTTTTTAAAAAAGAACAAAGCTACTAAAACTAACTTGGAAAATATGAAGGAAGCCTCCAAAATTTTCACCCTTCCCTTACTCCAGGTAGGACCATCTTGAC